TAGGTTTTTATGTTAACAGCATTATGCTGTATTGTAGTTTTACATAATTTCTTTATCTTTAAAGGGAGATAATACATGTGAATTTATAGAAAGACAACGGCACTAAAGTTACAGTTTTGTTGATTGTGATCCAGCAGTCAACAAAATTTAAAGGGTTCTGCTTCACCGTTTACCCTAAGAAACATTATACCCAAAGATGCAATTATGATTTAATGTTTTGGTTGTGGTCACTTTAATATATTGAATATTATGCTTATATGCAGAAGTAACTGTTTCTCTAAAATTATTGATAATATTAACACAAAGGTAATCACAAATTTACCTCTGTGTTTGTTTACTTGTTTACATTTTGTGGCTGATTGCATCTGCTGTTGTTCTGAAACAGTTCACACACACTAGGTAGAGTAGAGCTGAGCCTCAGTGTAAACAGCGCCCACGTCTTGGCTCCTACATCCTGGCCTGGATCAGTTTCAAATAATCTGTTTTCTTATAAATTAATGCATCAAGGTATTTTCACACTCTACCCCTGAAGCAACACACTTCAGCTGGTAGTGTTCAGGACTCAACCAAATAGTGAATGAGAATTTTGGCTTACTATTGCTGTCAAATCATTTCAAACGTTAATGTAAATGCTGTGTTTGTTTGTTTGTTTTACTGTTGTTTCACTGTTTGTTTAAATTTTTGTTTGTGTGTTTTTTGTATTTGCTGTTTGTTTGTAAATCATGGTGTGCTTTACCGTGCCAGAAGGTGGCGTCATTACTCTGCACAAGACCAAGAGTAACCTGCACTTAAAAGTAAAATGTTCAAAATTGGAGCGCCAGTTGAAAACAAAGTGTGCCTGTGATTGAAGTAATAGAACTTTGAGAAGGAGACAGCATTTTTGTATTTGTATTTGCCTGCTGTAACTTGCGTACGTTTGTTGGAAGTAGTAAGTTAGTATTGATTTGGTAATACAGTATTAGGAGGCATAGTTATAGTGCCACCTAGAGGAAAAGTATACATCCGCATGTACTGCATTATCCAAATGTTTGCAGATGAGGCAGAGGTATGAACTTGTACAGTTGCAGTTGGTTTTTGTTCCTCACAGGCCTAATCATAACCATAACCATCTTTTATTTTTATTTTTATTTTTTTTTATCAATGCTATATGTTTCACATTGCCTTAAGTGGTCAGTGGTGACTTGACTATGTTTTTTTGTCCGTTTGGACTGGACACAGCGTCCATTGAAAGTCAGAGTTGACTCATCTCACTTGAACTTGAACTGAAATATTGCTGAATCAGTCAATAAAGAAATTAACAAGAAGTAAAAAATAAAATTAGTAACAGTGAAAAAGAACTGAGGTCATAGCTCTTGAGGGCTGGACAATAGAAACAATGCTACTAAACTTTCTTGACTTTACAGTCACAAAGTGGAAGTTGGTCTAAAAGACACATTACAGTATTGAATACTTGGGCTTTTCACCAATATATCTTATAAAATATTAAATCCTAATAAGAGTGACATGATACAGCCATTCACAAGTGATTTTAAAGGCATTTCTTCTGTAAGACACAGCAGGTTTCAAGCTGACCTTTTCTAACACCTTTTATTTATAGCGTCTGTATAATACAGCTCATGTTAGAGAACCATCCTGACACTTACTATAAGGAGCCTGCTTTGTGCTGAGAGAGATGCTGACAAACACCTCAGTGAATGTTAGCATCAAGGTACTGAGCGTTGACCCCAACAAATCCTGAAATACTTGATCTTGAACTTAAATGTACTGAGAAAGCAACTGTTTAAATGATAGCAATATTCTATAAGTGAGTTTGCTAAGAATGCAAGATAAGGTAAAGTTGGCTTTTACGTCATATTTTAAGACATGTTAAAAGAAATATCCCAATGGGATTGAATATTCAATTTGCATCAGTCAAGAGGATATATGTAAAATATATAATCACTGCAAATGTAACTTATATTATATTTATACACATTTCAAATATTTTAATCACGCATCTCTGTACTATGTTAAACTTTGAAAAAGAGAACAAAAAAACACAGGAAAGTTCGATTCAAAATTCAAATTTTAATGTTTAGTAAAAAGGACAGTTTCTGTTTGTTATGACAATTCTCACTGTATTAACAACCAGATTAATAACAATAAAGGTATCTTAGTTATAAAAATTCATAATCTTTGGACTGTCAATCCTCCCTCTGGGGTGTTAGTACAACTATACAATAAGCTTTCAAAAATCTTTTCCTGTCCATACGGTAACAGACTGAGGAAGTTACATCATCTTAAAAGAGCTTTTAATTAGTTAAAAAATACAACTTTAAATATCCACCAACACATGACACTGCGGCGGTGAGAGTGTTTCAAGGCCATTTGTAGCAGAAGGCAGAGTAACAGGGCGACAGTTCAAAGGCCTAAAATGAGCACAGTCAGTAGAAGATTCCCCAAAAACCGGTCCCGGAATAACAGTTTGGAGTCTGGTGTTTGGGATTCAGAAGCACTGGTCCACGGAAAGTAGGAGAAGTTCACTCCATAGGTTAGCATAAAAATACAGTTCACTGATTGGTTTGTGCATCCACATTGGAGTTTAGGTTATAGAAACGGTGGGATACGAGGTTACTCCGAATCCCGCTGGACTTCAGAGGCATCCGCTCGGCAAATAGGACAGGTCCGATTAGCCTGAAATCAAAGAAAAACTTTTATATTTATAGGAACTGGAATAGTAAGGAACGTAGTAAACTGAAACGGTACTACAAACTAGAACTACAAATATTACCACTGCTAGTGCAACTGTTATTACTGCAAAACTACAACTGCAGTTGCCTTGCAGTCAGACCTCACAAAAATTGTTGATTTAACCAACAGAAAGTCAGAAAATCAAAGAATTAAAATTTTAGTAAAAGACAAGCATAAACTACTGTTGTAACTACAATATATCTTATGCTACTGGAAACTGAATGTAAAGTACTGACTATGGATCCCTCACCTTAAGCCACTTGTCCACACACTTTGCATGAAACTCGTGGTTACAAGGCAAAACCCTCAGGAGCTGGCGTGATTCGAAGTCACACATGCACACCACACACCTGTAACACAAAGCAGAATTTCAGTCAGTTCAAGTCAACATAATTTCACTGAGCATACATTTGAGAAAACAAAGTACGTACATTGTTTGTTCAGACTGGTGGTTGTTGGGGTTAAACCTGTATGACGGCAGCTGTTCTATGTCTGCCTTTGTTAGACCTCGAGGTTTGGCCTCTCCAAGACGCTCAGCAAGATTCAACAAGGCCTGAAATGGAGACCAAAGAAAATTAACTAAAAAATAGCTTTTATTTAGATATATTATATTAAATGAGATATTAATTAAGTATATTTAGTCACAAAAGAATTTCAATTTTTATTGGACAATAGATCAAAATTGCTCAAACTAAATTATAATTACTAAATGATTATTTTTGTTCATTGATGGTAATAAAGGTTTTTATTTCTATATGTGTTTTTATTTATTTACTTCGAGACGCATAGGCTACTAATATTAATACAAATGTACAAATAATACCTCATAGTTTTCGACCTCCCCATCCTCCACATCCAGCTCCAAACTTATAGCGGGGGCTACATTTGGGGGCACAGGAAGCATAGACCTGAAATTAGAAAAATGTGATAAACAAATTAATAAAGAAAACACTCCAACAGATAAATATACAGGTAAAAATGAAAAGATTCTTGAAGTTACTTACAAGAAATAAGGCAGGAAGCTAGGGTGGTACGGTGATGGAGGTACAGTTTGTTGAGAGCGGTACCGACGACTTGCTATTCTTCGAGGCATGAAGTGAGGATAGGGCTGTGGAATATGAGAATTTAAAAATTAGCATATTTTGAGATAGTTAATAATTTAGTCAGAGCAAAATGATCAAAAGACCACCACCTAAACTGATCTACTGACCATTGTAAAGAGCTCCTGTGATAGCGGATCATGGTGGGACAGGAACTGCAGTGGGGTAGAGGGGGGCAGGGCGGAGGGGGGCTGGTGGTGGTGGTGATGTCGATGGTGACTGAAGCTAAAGCCTCCACCAACAGACAGCTGCTCTCCCAGGAGCTCCACCTCATTTTCAATTCTTTGTAAAGGCTAAAGAGAAAAAGACATATTAGAGAGGGCACTGAAAATTGTTGAAACAAAAAAATTAATTTTTGAAAAAAATGTGTTATTGACTAAAGTGATGACATACCGATCGTGGTTGCTGTGTCTGGAAAGGCAGGAACTGTCCTGGGGCGTGAATGTGTGGAGGATGGTGGGCAAGGTGAGGGGGAGGGGGCAGCAGAAACTGAGGGTCACTGGACAACAGAGAGGGGAAAGCATAGGGCACTGGGAGATGCTGCATTGAACATGTCTGAAGCATCTGGTGGGAGGGGGAGAGAAACAATAGGTTTAATTATATTGTTTTGAAAAGGTTCACTGTTATTGTAATTGAACTACAGTTCCACAAGGTGGCATTCAAGATCATGGAAAGAATATTCAATCTCATGTAAGCAGTAGCATTTTCTACTTTGTTATTGTTCACTAGGCACTTTGGCTTTCCTTGACAAGTCGTAGGAGAAAATGTGCCGTACAAAGTGTACTTTTACTACCAAGCCCACACACAAGAACAGATAGCACACTGCAGTGTTCCTCTCACCGGGTGGTAATGCTGTCCAGTGCTGAAGACCACTGTGCTGCAGGCAGGGACCTGCTGTTGAGAGGAGCAGGCAGGGGGGGAGGTGCTGCCCACTGCACAGAGGCGCCGCCAGCCCATGAGGAGGCACCGGGGTCACTGTATACGAGACGGGGACACTGCCCTGCTGGAGCTACACAACACATCAGGGTTATTCCTCTGCTGCCCATGTCTGCTTTAATTATTATGATTACATCATCCACCATGATAATAACTGATGTAATGTTTTCTACACAATGTGCACTCACTTGTTCGTGTAGGTCCATAAGCATGGCTCCTTGCTGCTGTGTGGCATGATGCTGCTGCTGATTATGGTGGTGGTGGTGGTGTGCAGCCGGGTGTAACAGTCGAGGGGACAGGGCAGGGGGGTGGAAGGCTCGAGGCTCCTCTGACCCAGGCGCTGGCCCAGCAGAGGGGGTCTGGCCATAGGCACTAGGGGCATGTGCAGGGTATGTCTGGTGTGTGGGGAGGTGAGGGATGTGGTAGTTCTCGTCCTGGAGGTCAGAGGATAGCCTGACGGGCCCTGGTGTGGTGGGGTGGTGATGAGGAGGCACATGACGAGACGGTCTGGAGAGACGGCCACGCTGGCGCCTCGCTGGTGGGCTGGAGAGAGAGGGAAATTATTAGTATATTTTACAATGATTCAACGCTTAAGGTTACTTATAAATTAGGAGAGCCATTCACCTGCGTCTGAGCCGCGCTGGGGTGAGGCATCGCTCCTGGTGGTAGTGGGTATGGGGATGAGGTGGTCGGCGGTTGGCAGGTCCTGACTCCCAGGGGCGAATGGGGGGTGATGGGGTGGATGGTGGTGGGGCAGAGGAGGTGAGCTGCTCCAGGACAGACTGGCTGGACAGCCTCTGGCGCTTCGGACTGGGGCTTTCCTCACTCTTCATGATGGAGAAAGGGGGAAATAAGAGGGGACTGTGGTTAGTGACCCATAGTAGTCGCATCATATATATCAGTTTGTTCATGCTTTACATATTCTCTGGCCAACAATCTATACTTCTCCATAGACACTAAGCTCCTTTGTGAGTCATGGTATTTCCTGTATGATCTGGAGTGTGAAAAAGAGCGTATTACACCAGCAGGGCCTCAGGGTCAAAGTCACTTCCTCTTGGAGAGAGGAAATGTAAACACTAGACAAGCTCTCACAGGCCGTTTGACTCACACACACACCCTAAATGTTTGAATGCACAATATAGTGCAAACAGGAGCCTGGTTGGCATTGCCTCATATTAGTGAAGAGATCATAAACCAACTATGTTTAATCCTATTGACGCAGTGACTCACTCGACTTACTGTCAGAGGAGTGACTCTCACACTTGGCACTAGGCATGAGCACACATGTTGTGTGTCAGCTCTTAGTCACTGTCTTAGGCCCAAATGTGCTCTGAAGAAACAGGGCCCTCTGAGGCGCACACAGACTTCCAAACAGTTCAACACTTTTCCCTTCAGACTGACTTGATCCCGGCTCTCACCAGCACTCTTCGTGGGAGAGACACGTTGTTAAAGTGTGATAAAAATGACTCAGCGGCTGTGACTTTTAACACACACATCCACACAGCTCAGCAACCTTGAGAGCAGCGTGATAGCTAACAGGAAACAGCTGGAGAGCAGGCTGCCGAAACACACACACGTATGGAAACGCCTGCAGACATGCGCACATTCACACATGGGCAGCTGCCACTGTTTGAGTCTACAGCCTATAAAGAACAATACCTCCCAAACTTTCAGAAGCTACACTCGGGGGGGTATGTAGCGTCATGAACTACCAAGATTTCACCTTACTCTTTAAAAAAAAAAAAACTGGCCCACGTTCAAGTCTAGAAAACCTATGTGAGGAAAACATGAAATTACATTACATATTATATTACATTATGACCAGCTACATGCACAGATAGTACTGATAAGTTGTTGCAACAGAAGCCATGAAAGAAAAGAGTCGATGAAGTCAACTAGAGCAAATGTTAAGAGTAAGTATTTGTATTATACCATGCAGGGCGTACACACAAGAAAAATAGAGTGAGCAATGTACCAAAATTCTATTTCATCTTTCAGTGTCTTAACAATGAACATGATGTCTCAATTTTATGTGTCATTGTTATTACAAATATTGCCCAATTAAATCCAAATGTACACACATAAGAGTATATGAGTAACATAAAAAACACCCTTAAACAATTCAGTTTTACAAGCTACATGCCCATTCTTGGGGCACTACCATACACCCCACCCCCACTGTCTATAAGGCTGTAGACCCGCCCCATTCCCCACCCTGCCTTGACACCTCACTACCACCATACCAACAAACCCCAAACCCCTAGGGACATCTACTGTGCCCATTTTCATATCCAAGCCAGACTCTCCCATCACGGGATGACATACCCCCCCTCCGCCACACCCCCTCCCAATCCAGCATGCTCCTCCCCCTCCCCCCATCCCAGCTAACAGATAAGCTCAGACTCTTCGCAGGACCCCTCTTCCTCTTTGGTCCCGTCCTAGACCCTTGGCTCAAATCTGAAGGGACACGACGAGAGGTTCCTGGACAGGACACATGCCGTAGGTAGACACAGTTTGTCCAGGGACGCAAAGCCCATTGGCCATTAGTATGAAAGTTTGATGGGGCTGTCTACCCGTGTCAGTGGGAGGGAGCAGTGCCAGACAAAGAACCGTGTGTGTGCGCATGTTTCCCCAAGCTATACACTTTCTTCTTCTTGTGTGCAACTCTTTCCCCAGTTATTTGGTCTATTTCTTTTTGTTCAATATGTTATGTCTATGTTATATTATGGCACTGTAATGATAACTATAGGCATAACAATTTTGAGAGTAGTATGTTTACACACTGTAGCACCTTTATAAAAATCATGATCGTGATATAACCAAATTCTTAATTTTTCAGTTGGGGCAAATCTCTAATTTCTCTAATCTGCTTCTTCCTAAACCAGTCCGCTACATTTTTCTAGGCCTAGAATTGACACATTGGGTTGAGACCCCATATGAACAGATTTGTAATTTACATGTGAGTTGCTGAATTTACAAATGTTGGCAAAAATAAATAAAGGTAAAATAAAACATTTATATGGCCAATAGAAGTGGGTCATATTTTGCTATAACCAAGTACGCAATTTATTGTTCATAAAAAAGATATCAAAATGCTACAAAATGCACTGAAGAAAAAAATAATTGGAACAGACTTAATGCAAACTTCAAAACAAGGGTAAAGCAAGTGATTTCACATTTGCCTGATACTTAAACCTCACCCTGAACTACTTTTTAGAATGCATATTTTACCACATGTCTGTAGGAGTGCATATCTTCTGAATATCCTCATATACTCAAAAAATAGAGATTCATTTTTGTCAGTGTCTGCCAATGTTGAGATTTCTCAGATAAAATGCCTTCAGAAGACGTTTTGTTTCGTGCTGTGCTGCTACATGCATGTTTTAACAGTCAGCTTGTGTTAAAATACTGGTTGTTTCCATTAAAGCCTAAATACACAGTCAAAAGCACAGGCTGGGGACAAATGGATACAAAGAGTGACTCCCGGAAACAGAGTGAAGCGGTCCACCATGACTGAATATTACATTGTGCAGAGCCCACACACTCTCCCTTTCGGTCCCCCTCCGCAGACACAGTGCACTGGACAGATATTCCCGACACACCCTGCCACTACCACGTCCTATTTCACAACATTTGGGATATGTGCATGCGTCCACAGAGAGAGTGTGTGGTCACCAGCTGTTGTGGCTTCCCAGAACTGGAATAAAGGGAGGCCAGAGCTCTGAGGATGTACTGCACTCCTAAGTAAAAATGGGATCATATGAATTTGTGACTAAGCAAAATCATAAGAGTCAATGCATGATTCACACGTACTGAAAATGAAGGCTGTAGCGCTTTAGTCGTTTAGTTGATTAATTGATCGATGGGGTCTATGTTTTCATTAGTCGACTGATTATTTTATCAAGATTATAAGAATTTGTTTGCCTGGGCTGTAGAATATACACTTTCTCAATACTTTAAGATGTGAAGGATCACCGTCGGATCACAGGATTTGTGCAGAATCAATGAGAGACATTTGATTTTGTTTGAAATGATGGATGACCAATCAGCTCCTTCTTTCACATGTGTCATTGAAATAAACAAATCTGATTAATAGTCTGATTAAATAATGTTGATTTGCTCTTAACAAACTTATGAGGTAAGCCATTAAAAAGGAATACTTGGTTTTGATTAAATAAAATAAACAGATCAAATGATTGGCTGTTGAAGAGTTTGTCCACCAGATTTATATTTAACTGATACTCAAATAAATTCTTTTGATATTTTCAGTAGAATTTATTTTTAATCTTACTTTCTTCTTGAGCACACAAGTTTCAACTGCACTGCTTACCACACACAAAACAGGCCCTAACCAGCTCTCAGCTTTGCACTCAGTTGAATGTATGGCCATTTGCTTTTACAAATTCATTAATATTTGCAGACATGCTTCCACTAAAACACCCTCTCCCTCCCCCACAGATTTTCTTTTTCCATCAACAATTTTCAAAGCCCATTTTGTTTCCTGTGCCACTGTTCCTCCCTTCCTTCCCTCCCTCCTCACCTCCTTTCCTCCTCTCTCAGTCCAACCAAGTCCCACAGCTGGAGGTGGAATCATTAGCAATACCCCCTCCCAGTTTAAGCCTCGCCTTCGCCGCTCCTACGCCTCTCTCTTCCTCCCAGTTTTCTCCAACACCTACCCCGAGCATCCTGTCTCCCTGTCACCGTTAACAAATCATCCCTTTCCTTTGTAATTTAAGGTGATAATAACTGTAATGTTTCACGTTGTAAAGTTAAGACCAGCACAAATTTGCTCCTCGTGAGACTTGTGAGAATGGTTTTCATGGGTGTGTGCACTTACCTTATCACTTTCTTCTCCATACGCATGGTCGGGGTGGCAGTGGTACGACCCGCCAGCAGCTCCTAGACACAAGAAAAAGAAGAAAAAGACTTATTGCTATGATATGACCATTGCAGTAAAGTATATATTTAGGCCAATGCATTGTTAAGAATTTCATTTCATTCTCATGATTCACTGATTTCTAGTAATTATTCATTGTTCAGCCACACTAAGTTACTTTAAAAGCCTCACTTGCCATAAGGTAGATTGACAAAGATGTGGCTGGCATTCTGTACATAACTCATTTGAACCCAGCGACCCAACCCAGAAGAGAAATACGAGTTAGGAGATTGCTGCTTACTAACCGATGGGAGCAGATCTACCCCCGCTATCTGCAATAGACAAAACCTAAGCAAAATGAAGCACTGGTACCAATTATCCTACATTGAGTATCAGTAAGACAGAAAAGCTTCAAGTGACAATATGGCAAGTCCTTGTTGTAGATTAAATACAATTTTACAAAACATTCTAGACAATTTACCAAAATTGATAGCAAACAATCTGATGAGTCCCTTGTTTATCTGCATAGAGAACATTTAATCCTTTTGTTGTTTCGGATTGCATACAGCAGCATGAAACAATGACAACATGTTTGTGAAGGTCTACTGACTGGAGAGCCTCAAACACATATGGTATAGCCTTGCAGCAGATCAGAGACAGTAGTAGGTACACACACACACACACACACACGCACAAAATCAACACAGTAATCCTGGATTAGAGGGGCTCTCTGATGATACCGCTGCTTGCATCGTGGTTAAGACTTTTACTCTTTTGTTTTCCCCACAATCCTTTCATCTTTTTATTGTCTTCTCTATTTATTCTGGCTTTTGTTTTTGCCTTTGTCATGAGCCCAGTCTTTAGCAGGGGACATTCTCGCCGCAGATGGTGGCAGTGGTGCGCGCGGCAAGGGTAAGCGCTCCCAAGGGCGCACCAGACACCTTAACCATACAAGGGAGAGGAAGAAAGCAAAAGTCAAAGCAAACAGATGCAGAAAGGGTTGAGAAAAGTGTTTCTTCGCCTCATGGTTGTTTATTTGTGGGATTTTTCCTGCTCACTGCCTTCGCTTTGAAGAATAGCCCTGATTGACAACAAAGAAAGAGGCAGGTGAAAGAATAAGAGATAAGAGAGAGGTTTTTGCAACTGAATTTATCATTTTCCTTAAAAAGGCACTTTCTCTCCAAGCCTCAGAACAGCCACAAGAAGCTGACTGAAAAGGCTGAGGTGAGTAAAGCTTATATTAGCGGAGTACAAACTAGCTAAGAGGCTATTTTTACCAAAACGATGTTGGAAGAAATAGTGCTGAAGCATTCATGAGACTGGCCGGCTCCACTGCGCTCCTCTGTACAGCTTTCATTCACTGATCACAATGGGCAAAACCCGAGCCGCTGTCTGAATATGGGCTCTGCTTGTACATTGTCAGAGTGCGGTAAATTGAGTCAGAGCGCAGTCATTGAGCGCCAGTGACTCTATGGAGCATGACACAGAAGCTACTGAACAGGTTTAGGTGACATCATGTCCACTGTGGGCCTGACACACACTGCACTCAGCCAGGCTTGGTTTCTGCGCTCAGGGCCTCTCAAGACTCACTGAATAGGACAGACTGCAGAAGGAATTTTAATGCATGTGAACACTGTCTTTTTCTTTTTTTTTTCTCCCCAAAGGTTAATTTCCAAAGGGCTTATACGGAGGGCTTAATGAATAGTTTGAAATTTGAAATATGTTAATGCATTTTTGTCTGCTTTTCCACACAGCAAGGAGTCTGCTTGTTTGTGATAGGTGCAAAGTACAGCTCACACCTCCACTGAGGCGGTGTTCATACAAAAAAAAAGTCCAAAGTGAGCCATGTACTTTTATTGTTGTATAAAGAATTCTACGAAAGGAATTGTGCTATTGATTAAACTGGTTACAATTAGGCATTGGTCAAAGAGTAATTAGTCAAGCTGTCCAAACTTAAACAGCAGTATATTTTAAGATCATATCCATATAAATTATAATATTAAAGACCTCTTTATGCCAATGATAAATTAACCCCAAATAGCAGAACGAAACACTATGAGATGTTTTATTACTCAACAATCAACACCTTAAATGTTAATGTGAAACAAAAAATTTGAAATTTAAGTTCTGCAAGAAAATATAAGGTATGTAATCTATCAAAAATACTGTTCCATCAGTCATTTACTCAAGAATGAGTCAATATAGTTATTATCATGACAAGCCCAGTTCTCCTAAGCCACAGGAAATCTTATTAAAACCATTTCCATTGATACTTGGACAAACCAATGTATGATTTACTAATCTGTTTAAAACTATTTGTCAGAAACACTATTCAATGCATCATTTTCTCCTTTACGGCTATATGATTTTATAATGTTCTATTGACAATTTTCACACTTCCTTAATTGTCTGAACATAACTTTACCCTTCGTAAACCATCAACAAGCAGCCAATGAAAGTCACAACACAGTCCTTAAAATAGACACTTTCTATGCTCTGTGGACATTGCACATCACTTTTATAGAGTGGGAGGAGATCTGTCACCATAGCAAATGTGTACAAGAGGAAGAAAATGGCAATGCACAGTTTTAACATTATTAAATATCTCAATTTGATTTGAAAAGGGTCAAAATGATTCTATAAAGATGAAAGAGACAGAAATGCTCCAAAATATGGTTGACTGAAGAGGCATATTATGGGAGGGGCTTGTGAGGGTGGTCAAAAGTGTGAATGTGCTGAAGAACCACAAAGCACGCACAAGAAGGTAGTGTTGACGCACAGGTGAGCAGGTGAAGAGCAGTGAAGAGATGGAATAAGAATGAATAGTCTTTGCTCTAAAATGAACTGTACCAATACAGGTTTAGTTTATCAGGTCTGGATACATTTACAGGCTATTGTTTAAGGATGTTTTGAATTTGTATACCAATGTCACAAATATACTTCTTTTTATATAGAGTAGGGATGCACAGATATGGTTCCATGATATCACTTAAGCAGATATACTGATTGGGGTTTTGGCCTAGAACATCTCCTAATGTTTGAACTTTTATTCATACAAAGCTGTTCAGTAGTTATTTGAAGGAAAAATAACAGTTGCATAACTCAATGGGATCTCTTGTGTAAGAATTTAACCATCTTCTGTATCTGTAAACTATCTGAAAAGGCTGGATCGGTGCATCCCTACTTTTTTGCATATCTGCAATCGGCCTTAAAGCTCCAGGGACTCTGAATTCTAAATAAAGGTACTGGCTACTAGAATGGGGGGGGCATATCAGTTGATCTCCAGGATCTGTTATCAGTTTAAAATGCATAAAAAGGTCATTTTTAATAAGTGTCAACAGTTCAATGGTTGTATGTATCATCTTCATGTAGTTCTCATTTTGAACATTTGCATGAATAGTTTTGACTTTTGAATGTTAAACTTCTATCGGCAAACTCCATAGTCAACATAATTTTGGCATGTTTTGCGCAGGCCTAGTATGGATCCAGAGAGAGGAGTGAAGGGCAGGCAGAGAAGGAGAGAGGGAGCTAGGTGGGGGTAGTGGCTTCCCCTCCTGACTACTATTGATTTTCTGTACGCCTCAGAGTGCATCAGCTATTTCTATCCATTTCCTCCGCCCTCTTCCTCACACACCCTCCTCCTCCTCCTCACACTCTCCATCACTTCATCACCAGCCCTCCCTCCCTTCGTCTCTCTCTCTCTCTCTCTCTCTCTCTCTCTCCCAGTCGCCGATCTATTTCCCTATCTGCCGGCCCTGTCTGTCCGCCATATATTCTCACCCTTTTATCTCGCCGCATCCACACTTCCTTCTGTCTCATCTCCAGATCTCCCTTATATGAACACTTCCCTTTTTAAAGGCAAAGCTCCACACCAACCAATAGAAAATACAAATTACAAGTGGCAATAAGCACTGGAAACAAATATTTTCTAGCTAGGTTGTTTGAATAAGTTAGGGGGAAATAACCAAATTTGGGCTGCACTAGTCCTCTCCAGGTTGCGGTAAACACCTGGATCCTTGCTGGAGACTTTGACATCTATTCCCAGCTCTGGCAATCTGAATGGAACAGTGATACTTGTACTGTACATATAGTTAAAGTTTAATTAATAAAGCATTAATTCTCCATGAATGCCAAGTCTATTGTAAAAAAATGCATTATTGAATTCAGTTTTAGACCCAAACAGAAGGTACAAATGATTCTTTAACTAGTTTGTCACTATAAAAGTTACAATACGATATAAACAGACCTTCTACAATACAATATAGAACAAGACCTTTTGGTTCCACTCTTGGCACCAAAATGAGCGTAATATACCATTGTGTCCATGTCGTAGTCTACGTTTTCCAAGTTAGTTTGATTCTCCAGTTTTATAGTTTCTGCAATTATAAACTTAAAACCGCAACATGTGCACATCACTTCAGCAGGTCTACAGGTTTTTACCTCTCATGGAACAAACATGAAGACAATTGCAGTAGAGCATGCGTAACATTAGCGTCACCCCGCCCCCTGAACACATGTCAGCGCACACTTCACACCTTAACGCCGAGCAGCGCCGGGTAACGAGCTGCTGCGCTAGCTTAAAATAGGCGCACAATGTAGAACGCCTGCCCGGTGATTACCTGCTTAGCGCGGCTTCAAACGGGGCTAGCGCACGTGCTACCCGGCGCCCTCACACCTCCCCAGCCTCCCCCACCTATTTAATCCTCTCACCTCTCTTCTCACCACTTCTTCTGTTTACATCTTACATACGGCTCCTTTAAGTGGAATGTAGGGTCGATGCACGCTGGGACTATACCTTAGAATGGCAGCTTTTTACAATACCTCTTGATTGCATATGCTTTTAACTTGCAATATACAGGTAATTGGTTGGCATTCTTTTGAGTTGTTAATTGCATCTTATACTTTTATAGTGTCTTGATCACTTATTTAATCAAGTGTAGATTGAGGTCACAAACTGTATCCTGTGGCGGCAGTTCAGGCTTGGATAAAGTTCAACTTGAATGCATTTGATATTGTGTTAGGAAGGCAGTCCAACATCATTTTTTTGAGAATCTTTTAAAAGTACATGGCTCTTGCTGTCCTCGAGAATTGTTTTCTTTTTTACCTCAGTGAAATATTCAAGGTTGTACAGACTATATTGGTTATAAATCAAGTGCTCATCAATCAAATTAAAGTAAGAAACAGGCTTTTTGAAGTGGGTTGTAAAATATGTGATTTTGCCAAAGAGGAATCCATCTTGGTTATGCATTTCATGTTTTTAAGGCTCATTCTTGGAACAGGTTGTTGATGTGACAAATTAAAATCAACCCAGTGTGCTTGACAGTATGGCGCCCAATCAAAACCAAGAGACACCCAACAGACAAAGTTGTTGACATGTTTCTTACTGGAGAGACTGACTTAAATGCAATCCCTAATTATGCCTCATTTGAAATGCAAAAATTATGATAATTTTATGTGGCGAGATCTTTGCCAATATTTTTTTTCTTCACAATAAAAACTTAACAAGCTTTATAACATCTACATCTAAGAGCAAGTGCTGTGTTCTCTTATTTCAGAGAGATAAAATTATAAAAATGTAAAATGCTAAAATTTGCCTCATACACAGACAAACTGGACAATATGTACAGTGCAAGAAATACAATAAGACCAAAAATGCTGGAGCCTTTAGCAGTGTTGAAAGGACAAGAAGAAGTTGCAGATGCTCACAGTGTTGAAACAGAACATCAACGGGAGCTTAAAATACCAGAGTGACAGTCTAACCAGGCTGGTTCTCGTTCTGTGGTTAGACCAGTCCCATCCAGACTATGATCACCCTCAAACCAGTGAGAAGGGCTTTAGTACCAATGTAGGATTCAAGTCAATTAGTGGTCCAATACAAATGAAAAAAAATTAATGTGACTGCAAATAAATTTGCAAATTATAACACTCACATTTCAAAACCGGTCAACAAGAGCAATCATATTTCAGTAAACTTAATTATTCTATATCAAACCTCATGCACTGCATCTTGCAGCTCTACCACACACTGAACAGCCTAGGTCAGTCTGGTTCTAAGCTACTGACTAAACTGTAGAGCATCTGGTTAACATTCCTATATTAAGAGTGAGAGACCGACATGTAACGGCAAACACCAGCCCTCCCTCTGTCCCTCGCTAGCATTCACTAGGCCCTGGCTTGTAGTTACTTCCTTGCACAGGACACACCCCCTGGTTTAACTTCAATCTTTTCCTTCTCCCTCAATCAGCCACCAGCCAATCCCAGCCCTCGCCCCATTCGCTCACAGCAGCTCCCCGCCTGAGGCTGCAGCATACCTGCTCTGTGAGGCACGCCGCCTCTGCCCTCATATCATACTCAGGTGTCACTCACATTCAATACTTCTTTTACCCTTTCCTTATGCGCTTCCTTTAAAAGCCAAAACATGGTCCTTCATAGAGACCCCAAGGCTCTTCATGTAAAAATGAGGGCCAATAGGAAATAGTGCTGAAATATTCATGTACTCTTCCAGATAAGAACTCTCAATAATTTAAAGGATCCAAAAAATTGAAAATATATCAAACCACTGTTTGTCCCATTTTATTTTATCTTTAATTTTATCTAGCGACTGTAATGTGATAGCGGTCTGAAGGGATAGGGACTTAATGTGGAGAGCAAAGAGAGGGGGGAGATAGAAAATAAAATCAAAGCTTATTAAACATGTTAGAACATTGTTTTCAATGAATATAGCATTTTCAAACAGTAAAGGGTAACATGGATCTAAATATGTTATGAATTAGCAGTTAATACCCCATAGAAGTGTACTTTCCCCCTCTACAATGCTACTGGGTTAAATATACATGTTCATTAGTTTTTGGTCGTAAAAGGTGTCAGTAGACCTGGTAAGGTTTTCCTTTGTTTTAAATGCCAGTTCTTAACTTCAGATCAAAGACGATATATCTGTGTATTCGTTGTTACTTCCCGTTTTACAGATTGAGCGGCCAAAGATACATTCTGAAGTGCATGAGCCACCAGCATCTTTCCTGCTGACCAAATGGACTGCTTTGTCATTCATTTGAAGTGACAGAGAAGGGGAACCCCTGCTACTTGGTCAATCCAACCAAAGGACCTTGCCTTCAAATCAGAGGGGGTTGCCTGGGTGACAAGACAAAGGGAAATTAAAAAACAGAGCATGTTTCCACTTGTGTCAAAGACAGAAGGATGGAGAGGATGGCTGTGGAGTGCAGGGTAAAGGTATAGAGGCAGGAGTGGCTGGCCCTCTGCTGCTTTGGGCGATCCATTAAAACGATCCCTCCATTAGACAAATGGGAGGGAGGAGGCCGCAGCAAATGGACTGAAGGGGAGCACAGAGGGTCGGCCGATCCTAAAGGGAGCTAGTGTTAGATGGGACGAGTGGGGTGGGTCATAACAGATAGGATAGCACTGACTACAGGGGATGTTTTAGCGACTTCAAGCTATTTGGCAGCAGTCATGAGCATTTGGTGGGCACATTGCCCAAGCACTTCTACAGCTCGGCGCTTGTTTTCAAAACTTTTTTTCCCCTTTTAAATTGGTTAGTGTTTCCTGGTATCAGCCAGTTAGCCTCCATAACAGGAGCACAATTGTAGAGTTTAATACATCCATGAAAGAACAGGAGGAGAAGAGAGCCCAGAAAGGCTAGAAGAGGGAAGAGGGGGTAGATGAAAGAGTACAGTACCATAAGCTTTCAAGCTCAACGCAGGTGACTAGTATAGAAGAATAGACCAAGGAGGTCTCCTTGTCTTTCACTGTACCCAATGAGCACCACGCATTCTGCAAAAAGAGCCTCTAATAAAAGCTATGTGTTCGACTGGGTCCAGCCTGCCAGCTGCTTTCTCTTGTTCAAGAAGATTCAAGTAGAAATTAGTCCCAAGGCTTCACCTGACTAAGGACAAATTATTACTCATTGTAAAACAAAGCTGCTAGCTGTTAGCTTCATAGCGATAAAGGAAACACAGACATCTTTCCATGTTTGCTTCTAATTGACTCAAGTATTTACAGCTTCCCACTTAAATCTTGGATAATTTTATTTTATTTTTTAAAATCAGGTTTAATTAAAATACACAATGACTTGAGCGTCCATTAAACATCAGCTTGCACCTCTTTCTCTTAGGTCGAAATCCATTTAGATAGACATACAATACAGCGATTCTGCACATTGATCTGTGATATCCCAACATAACCAGGTCCACTGTGATGGAGCATGGGTCATGGGTCACCAGTGTCCAATAATCTCTCTGCACATACAGTCCAGTCCAGTCCAAAAGGCCTGTCCATAGACTGCACTATATCTTGCACTGTAGTCTAAACCAGCTTTGGCCTGTGTGTGCACAGCTGTTGGATCTTTGTTTCTCTCTCAGACCAGTAATACCTGTCTAAACTGAGGCACACACACCTGCAAATTCTATATGTCGTTCAGTTCATTTAATTGCCAAAAGGATTTGATGCTTTCTTAAGCATGTATGACACAGACAAACAGCAATAATATGTTTTTTGCATGTATATTTTTAATCTTCACTAATAACTGGAACTAAAATTGAATCAAACCACATGAGGCCAGACAGAACAGCCTGCTGTACCTTTAGTGAAAGAAAAGCTTTCTCTTGGTCCTGAATGTGAAACTCTATCTGAGGTGTTTCTATGTGCATGGCTCCACTGCACTGGCTATGACACTGCCCTCACATGTACTCTCCACATGCACCCTGGGACAAATTCTCCTTCATTTTTCTTATTTATTTTACTCATAAAAACTAGAAATATACAGTTAACATAGAGTGAGTAGTTAAAAAACAACACCCTTCTTTTTTTAAACTCAGTCGTCCACTTTGTTGTCAAGGCAGCCTGTTTAGCTCTATGAACATTAATTTTTGCCTAATGCTTGCTGTCGGACTTGTTACCTGGTTACATCAATTATTAAAAAGTTACCATACATGTAAACATCACACACAACCTGCTGTTCACCTGCACCAATAGTGTACACAGTGTGCGCGTTTAGATTGCATCTCTCCTTATATTCTGACCAGTAATTTTGATAAAATGGTTTCAAAATGTAGGCAATGTTAAAATAAATACACTGCATTACTGAGTTATAACTAAGATTTTTCATCTTAAGAAATAAAGTTCTTATTAATTTTCAAAGATTATTTAAGATAATGTGTCCAAAAGGGGGGTTACCTGGTGCTGAAATGCGGTGTGAGCCATTTACTGAGGGGAGCCTCTGGATGCCGGCTGAGGAGTTACTTCCTGGGGCTCTGTGCTGGTCTGTTTGGCTTCCGTGGGCTCCAAGTGGTGCGCAGCCGGCCGGGTGCAGCTGCTGCGGATGGACTTGCTGATGGTGGTGGTTGGATCCCATGACCGTACTCCCGGTAATCCCATTGCCATTCACACTGTACTGCTGGTAATATCCGGAGCGAGAACGCGATCGAGTCCTTGGGGGCTCCATAGCCATTTGGTGCGGGTGAAGGGGGTGGAAGAGAAACGAGGAGGAGGACGCGGTCGGGGACTGCGGCGGAGAGCTGCTGGATCCGGGGTGTATGAAGCTCCGTGCACCGCTGTGGCTGTAACTAAAGCCGCCCTCTGCACCCCCGTAGTCTGTCCGCTCCGCAGACTCCGCCGCCCCCGCCTCGTCGAATAAATCAGCCCCTTTAGGGACAGGTTCTGGGGTGGAGGGCAGCCGGGGGCAAACGCGAGGCTCCTGAGTCGTGGGCTGTCCAGCGGCTGCGATTGGCATTTCCTTTTGGGGGATTTCCTCTGTTTCTTATTGCTGTTTTCCTCTCGTTTCCTCTAACAGAAGACGCTTTCTGTCACTGTCCAGAAATAAAGTTGAAGAGTGAGCACTGACACCAAGAAGCCCTAGGCGTTTTCTGTTGAACAGTCCAACCCAACGCAAAAGACTGATGATAAGATTAAACTATTGACGAGACAAAACTATCGACACAAACGCATGACTCTAAACACACTGTTTATTTTGACAAGCGCGTGTGCTTTGAGAGAGATACTTCTCCCCAGTAACGTACCCAAACACAGCATGGTCTAAAAACTGGTCTGGCAACTACCTAAAGACACACACAACACGCTTTAGGGTAAAATAAAGTAATCAGAGAGCTGTTTGAAAGCGTTATAATTCTACTTTACGAGACGAAACTGTCTGCCCCCCAAAACTACAGAAGTTCAGAGCAGCGGTAGCTCGCTAGAGGCTAGTAGCGTCGGAGGCATGCTAACATTAGTGCGTAAAAGCACTATTACACGGTTCCTCACCATGCAAGAGCATCGGCTCCTCTCCTGATTATCTCCTGGGCAGTGTTGTTGTCGTCTACGAGAGTTTATCGCTACTTTAATCACTTTAAAAACGAATTAAACTTGTTTAGTCCTTCTGCGTAATGTCGTTCGCTAGCTTGGAAAGCAAGATCAACCCCTCCTCCTCCTCTGGAGAGAGAAAGCCCATTGCTTAGCCACCCACGCCTCGGTTCCCTTTAAACTATTCGGTTAGAAAAATAAGTCATCTTTAAGTTTAAAGTATATGTAGAGTGTAAATTAGGAACTCGACGCTACCGACTTTGTTTTCCACCGTGGGAAAGAGAGAGAAGAGCAAAACGCGCTGTTGAAAGATAAAAGTGGTCAACCTAAAATTACAAAGACCGAACCACGGGCAAAATTAAAACAATCTTACGGAAAGAATCCGCCTATTAGCTTTCCACTAAAACCGGCCTCATTTTCTGACATATAGAAGTACTTTTATACAAAAGCCTTACCTTCAGCGTGCTCTCTACGGATGTGCTCAGACTTGGATGTGTCGATAATATTGTGAGCCCTGCTTGTGTGAGTGGATGTGAATGGTTGTGTGTGCGCCTTGTGTTCGCTCGGTGTCAGCGTGAAATGTGACAGACCGTCAGCGCTCCAGTCGGATCTCTCTAGACGTGACCAATCGAAACCAGAAACCAACAGGCGTTTGTAGTTGTATTCATTTTGCTCGTTTTCTTTTGGAGAGTAGGGCATAGACTGAAACAGCATATGAATCGCCTTTCTTTAAAATATTTGACTAGTTTGACAATTTTAAGTTAAATAAATTGTCAATTTAATATTATGTTTTTGTGATCATTAGGAACTCGATTATTAATCCTGTTAAATCAGAAGCTGGGGATAGGAGAGAGGCAGGCTGAGGGGATCTTTAAATTATTTATTTACAAATACCAAGCCTACCCATTGCAGCTGTTTCCTTTGGAGCTAGGTTTTAAAATAAACTTAGCTGCTATTAGCTGGCTTTGCAAAAGTAACATAACCATTTTGCAGAAACTACAAATAGGTCTGGTAGTCTTTGTGAAAACAGTGAGGCTAATAATTATAGCACTAATAAGAAAACCTTTATTTGTCCCACAATGGGAAATGTCAGTGTATCTATCTCCTTTTTAGGCACTACATTTTAAGTTCATAATTCTTCCAAACTGGCACATTTCTAGATGTTTTTTTCTAATTCTGTTCATTTCTCCATTTGCTGCTTACATAATCCAAAGTTCAATATAGGGACCAATAGGTGAGGACATACTTGATGTGTAATGCATGGCTATAGATAACGTATTTCTGCCTGTCTGCCTGTGCGTCTGTGCCCTCTCCCCACCTATAGCCCAGTCCATCTCACCTTCTGTTGCCTATAGGTTCTCCTGTTTCACACACACCCAACCCCAAATCAACACCACTCCTAATACACACACACACACACACACACACACACTCACTCACATATTCTCTCCTCATTACACTCCCATCCCCTACTTTGATGATATGCAAATAGGACCTACCTCACCCCCTCCCCTCTTTCTCTCTCTGTCTCTCTCTCTCTCTCTCTCTCTCCCTCTCACATCACACACACACATACACTACTACCACATGGGCTAATACACTGTGGCAGCGTCCACAGACAGCCAGGGAGGATCAATTTTTCACCCAGTGTGCTACCGATATTCATAAGATAAGGCCACAGAGGAGAGTGGAAAGAGAGGGAAGCAGGATTGGGGGAAGGAGATGGGGAAAAGGAAAATGGCGAATAGGTGTAATATACAAGGACGGCTGATTGGACCAGAGATCTGGGCTAATCAATGTACAATGATTTATAAATGATGCCAACTCTAAAAGCTAGATACAATCTGCTATGTACTCTACTTTCTGTCTGTGACCTTTATGGGTGAAAAAAACGTAGCATTGATGTTATTTTGGTATACTCAATAGTTGTGTGCAATGAAATAACAGTTTAGAAAAAGTAGAATTATATGTGAGAATTCAGCCTTGCAGGTCAAAAAATAGAAGACTCAGTCCCAAAAATGGATTGGGTTATGACAGAAACCACTTAGATGATTTTACACAAGAAGGTAAAGATGATAGTTAGGCAGATTTCAGATATGAGACACGGTGATGATATCATTTTCAACATTATAATGTGAAGAGAGTTTGTATTTGAATGGTTTCTTTAAGTTAAAATGTTTTAGGCAAATTGTCAAGAAGAGGAATAAATACATTTTCTTTTGTTGTGAAATTATACATACATAGTGAGTCATGAGATGTCACAATGAGATGAGTGATTCACATCCTTAGTCATATGAAACTGTATTCTATTTGAACCAAATATTTAAAATATTGGGCGGTTTTGATTCAAAAATTATCAAAAGAAAGCATGGAAAAGCATTGAAAACTATGAAGACCAATTGTGCGTCTGGCTGCCATGGGGAAGTATCAGCAGCTCGGGTGAGAGAGAGAAAGAGAGAGAGGGAGTGGGAGGGGTGTGGAGACAGGAGGAGTAAGTGGGTTAGGGGGTGGGGTGCGCAGAGAGGGAGAAAGGGGTGCCTCTGGGGGATGGGGCTGGGAATGGATGGGCTGCTGGTGTAAAGGGAAAAGGGAGGGATGGTGAGTGTGTGATGAGGAGGGGGCCATTTCGCTGACGTGCTTTCCCATTGGCTCGTTCAAAAGCTGGGGGAGGGGCAGTCCCAGAACTCACCAGCTGTAGGGAAGAGAGCAGTGAAACAAAGAGGGAAGAGGAGAGAGAGGAGGGGGGGCAGATATGTGTTTTAATGTTGATATTCTGGTCTAATTAGATTCTTGTCTAAGTGGCGGAATGAATGGGGCTGTGCCGATAGAGATGGGAGTAGGAGACAGAGGAGCAGGCCTTTGTCTCGTATAGAGCATTTTGTCTTGGGGTTCTTGATCTATAATTTAATTTCATTTGCAAGACAAGAGGAGCAAATTGCCAACACTGTCTACCATATACATTCAAAGTTACATTTATTTTAATGCACTACAGAAAGATGCTTGTATTTTCTTTTTAGTATGTCTTGTTTGTCAACTGTGCTATAGTGCAATTGATTCATGTTCTTTTTATGTTTTTATATAAGCATGCAAAGGCAAAATCTAATATTGAATATCAGGAAATGCTCACATATTTGAGCCAAGGGCAAATTTAAATCAAGGGTTGGTTTAATGGTTAGTACAATGTTGAGACACTAATATAATATTTTTTTAAAAGATCCATAGGTCTACATTAACATCTCTGAGTACAAAAAATACAACCTATTTTTTCTGTAATTTTGATGTTTAGTTTGCAAGCAAGGCCTATAGGTTATAAGTATTGCTCCCGTAGGGAAATTAGTCATCTGCTTTTAACCCATCTTTTAGTGCCACTAGGGCAACACGTCAGGAGCAGTGCAATGTTCGGGGACCCATGAGCCATGAGTTCATGGTCAAGACTACCAATTGGAAAGAGGGACAATATAAGAAAAAACATATTATTTTGTAACATCAGTAAAAACACACTGCAGCACAATTACAAAGCAGACTGGGAGTCATGCGCTTATGGAGCCTAGCTATACCTCAAAGGTTCTGCAGTGCTCCTCTGTGACAGACAGACTGAGAATGGAGCGACTGCTGTGTACCATGGTTAGAGTAGAGGAGAAATTAAGACAAAGCAATTACCAGACCAGTGTGGAAGGAAACAGAACTGGAGTATGTTGACCATGGAGGGATCAAATGGTTGGTGTAAACATGTGTATCACTTTTAATCTTCTTTTTGCTGCTTTTCTGGTTTTCTTTTTTTTTTTTGTTGTTGTTGTTGTTTGTTTGTTTTTCTATTAAAAGCAACTATACACCTGTCTTGCTATATTAGATCTTGTTCTAACTCTTGCAATCAGCCTTTATTCAAAAGCCAATTGGAGCATCCATCTTTGTGCTAAATGCCTTCCATTTCTTATTTTATAAATAAAATAAGACTATAGTGAAAGTAAGTGTGACAGAATAATACAACAAAGTTAACTATACAATCTATATGTTATTGTTACATTACAGTTAAACTCCTATTTGCATTATATAGACAGAAACATGTTTTTTTTATGACTTCTTGGATTACAAAATTGGATTATGGAAAAAATTTCAAGAGCAGATAAGAAAAATGCAAAACTCAAACCCAAATTGGTCTGCAACAACAATGTCCATTTTTTTTAAACTTTGCTTATATTTAACATAACCTGTTTTTTGTTTTGTTTTGTTGTTATTTAATTATTTATCTTTAAAATAAGATAATTGTTTCACCATTTCAAGGGAGTATGGATTAACTTCCATATATTATTATTCTATTAGCATAAACTGTAATTTATCATAGATCTAATATAGTTATATAGACATCAAGATAAATACCATGCTAAAGACCATGCTTTGAATGGGAGAGCAATGCACAAGTCTTATTTTCATCTAAAATTTTGGGTTAGTAACATGGCTCTTTTCTGTATGTATAATAATATTTTTTTTTTATCCAAATGGAGGGCAGAGTATAGCCATGCACTGGGAATGAGAAGGAAAAGCTGAGAGGAGGAGGAAGCCAGTGTTTCTGTGGCTGATCCAGGCTGGAGCGGTGGGACTTGGCTGGCGCTGGACCCTTGGCTTCACCATTAAAGCGAGTGGAGAGAAAAAAAATCACAGTCAAAAAATGAAAAGGGCAAAGAGCTATGCCAAGAATGCACAGGCAAGAAGCAACACATTGGCTCTTCTCCTCTGCCTGCCTCTCTGTTTTCCCCGAGCACAGCCAAACAATAGGTGGGACTGGCCTGAGAACGGACCACTATAGAATCAGAACCCCACTGTGAAACTTAAGGGCTTTTAAAGAGGCTAAAGTGCCAGCATGGGGGGCCTTTTAAGTTTGCCCTGTGGATTGATGTGCGTTTCCCCTGATGTTGTTTCATTTGCTATGACACTATGACCCTCTTGTCCCTAAGAGCAGTAAAGCAGATTCAGGGCAATTTCATCTATAACTTACATTTGTACCAACTTAGAGTTTTTATTAGAAAAAAATCTAAATTGGTACAAACTTAGT